TTCTTTTCTTTTCTTTTCTTTTCTTTTCTTTTCTTTTCTTTTCTTTTCTTTTCTTTTTCTTTTTCTTTTTCCTTTCTTTCTCCTCTCCCCCGACCCTGCTCTTTGTACGTTTTGTAACCGCGGGTTTTGTACCACGGGGCACTTTTTCAGCGCCAAACCTCGACAATAAAGAGCGTCAGCGCAGCCGGGGCCTGGACACGCGTGTGGCGGGGGGACATGTGTGTGTGACAGGGACATGCGTGTGGGAGAACACGGGGTGTGTGTGACAGGGACATGTGTGTGACAGACCCGGGAGCAGGCACAGGAGACGTCCCGCAGCCTGCAGAAGGCATTAGCCGTGCTTTTCCCCCCAGCCCTTCCTGTTATTCCTCCGGCAGCATCTCCCGGCCCCGGCGGGACCCAGCTGTGGCCGCCGGGTCACCTCCGCGTCCCCTCCCCTCCCCGGGACCCCCTCCCGGCGGGCGGGGGGACGCGGGGCCCATCCCGCCTGGCCGGAGCCCAGAGGTCGGGCAGCAGCTGTGCCGCGTCCGGCCGCGCCGGGGGGATGGGGACAGTGGCCCCCAGCGCCCACCCCCAGTGCCCGGGGCACCCCCGAACCCTGGCACTGCCCTGCATGTCCTCCTTATGCCCATCCATCCATCCATCCATCCATCCATCCATCCATCCATCCATCCATCCATCCATCCATCCACATAATCAATCCCATCCCCATCCCAAACCTCCGCCGCACACCCGTCTTTTCCACCCCTTTTCCTCTTTTGGTCCTTCCCCTCTGTCCCCTCCTCAGTCCTGCAGGCTCACACAGGGACCACCGGACCCTCGGGTGTCCCCTCACATGGAGAGGGGACCGGCCCCCCAAGGGGTCACYCAGGACTTGGCACGGTGGGGACACACGCAGGCAGGGCCCCCCCCGAACTCTCACCCCCGGCAGTCACCGCTCCCACCCCAGAGTGACAAAAGCTCCTGAGCCCTGGGTGTGGTGCCAAAGCTGTCCCGCGGCTTTAGCAAATCCGAGTTTTCCCGGCACAAACGGGAGCTGGAGCCCCCCCACCCGCGCGGGTCCCCCGCTCCGTTTGCTTTGGGGCGGGAGGTGTGAAGGAGCCCGAGCCGGGCTGTAAACACGGAGGTCACTTCAAAGGGGACGCCCGGGGACATCCTTAGCACCACCAGATTATTTCGGCACCCCCGGGCGGGATGCGAGGCGGGGGACGGGGAGGGGGAGGGACATCCCATTTGGCAGCTTGGAAAAGCGGGTGGGGGGGCTCCCTGGGGCGGGGGCAGCTGTCCCTGTCCCCATCCCTGTCCCCATCCCCGTCCCCGGCTGCATCCATCCCCCCGGAGCCCACTTTTACTCCCTGCACAAAATAATCTGTTTTCTCAGTGCCACATACCCGTGACCACGGCATGGGGAGCCCTGACACAGTTGTGACCTACAGCGTCCCCAAGGCATCGCATTTTACGGTCTGAGGGCCCCCAGTTCCCCTGAGGGTCGCACCCACCCCCCACTCCCCAGCCATCCTTTCCAAGGATGCTCCCCATCCCCCGTGGCCGCTGTCCCCCCTCTATCTTCCCTCCTCATCTTCCCCAGGCACTCGCAGGAAGGCAATACCTTCCTTATCTTCTTCCGACGGGTGGTCCGGCCCTGCTGGCCCTCACCCCCAGCTCCGGCCTTGTTATTTTCTGGTGTGTCCCTGCTTTTGTCCCCAGAGACTCCTCAACCAAACATTTCCCTCCTGGAAGGGAAAGGGAAATCTCCAAGACGCGGATAGAAAGTCGGCAGCTCCGTCTCCGCTGGCCGGGCGCCTGCGGCCATTTCCGCGCCCGGCGGCAGCGCCGGACGGGAGGGAGCTGCAATTCCGACACTCCCGTAGTGCTGGGATATTTTGGGGTGGTGGAGGGGTAGAGGGGCAGAGGAAGAGATGGAGAGAGGGGGGAAAGGAGGATGACGGGATGGAGGGATGGGGAAAGCGAGGGAGAGAGGAAAAGGTTATAGAATCATCAGGGTTGGAAGAGATTTTTAATATCAAGTACAACCATCAACCCAGCACTGCCACTGTAACCCCTAAACCATAAAACCATGGATGGATGGATGGATGGAAGGAAGGAAGGAAGGAGGGCACTGTTGGATTGATGTATGGACAGCTGGATTGACAGATGGATGAGTGGTATTCAGGGGTCTCTCCAGGGTGAGGGAGCCTGGATGGCACTGGAATGTAAACACACTTTGGGATGTGTCCCTAGATACAACAATCCCACTCCTCAAGCCCCCCTGGCACTCAGATCAAACCAGATCCACCAGGAAACTCCCCAAAATGCCCAAGGGAGCTCCCGCCCCTCCAGGTTGGGATTTGTGCAGTCCCCAGCCCCCCAGCCACCCCTCTATTCCCTCTCTTAGGACAAAAGACTGTCCCCACACGGGGAGACCCCGGTCAGTGGCCCCCGAACACGGTGGGGGCTGGCAGGAAGGCGGAGGCAGCTTCCCTGACGGGAAGCATCCCAAGGAACTCAGTAATGATCCCGCATCTTTTCCAAGCGAGAACAAAGGCTGAGGAGACAGGATAGTTCATCACCGATAAATGAAGGATGTAAATAGCAAATAGGGGGAAGATTTATTTCGAGCAGAGCCTCAGGAAGAGGCGGGGGCTGGGGGGAGGGGGGGGGAAATGGGACAGGAGCCATTCCGTGGCTCATCCAAATCCTGTTTGGGGTGAGCCAGGGTCCTGCCCAGTGCCCAAAGCTCCCATCCACGCCCAGGGGGTCCCGTGTCCCTCCTCACACGCCGAGGGTCCCGTGTCCCCATCTGCACCCAGGGGGTCCCATATCCCCATCCCAATAAGGTTTGGGTGTTTCACAGCACCGGGTCCCGTTTCCACGCCCGGGTGAGTCACACAGGGCTCGTCCCAGCCTCAGATAAGGACAAAAGCCCCAAAATTGGATTTGGTGGCACGGGGCTGTCGCCTGATACAATCAGAGCTGGGGGGCTGGGGCAGGCAGGAGCCCACCCCACGGGGTCAAACACCCCCGTCCCGGCGCTGTGATGCTCCGAAGGGTTGGAACGGGGGCTTTCCTCCATTTCCCGAAGTGTTGCTGAGGAAGAGACCAGGACAATCCGTACCAGGCAGGGAGCACCCTAAATTCACACACTCTGTGCCCTCAGACACCCCGCAACCCAGCCGCACCCCCACCCCTCCATCCTCCCCTCCACCACATCCCCCCAGCCCCCCGAGAGAACTGCGCACACCTTTTTTTAACCAAAATTCATTTATTTGACACAAAACACAAAGCCCTGGGGGTGCCGGGGGAGCCGCCCCCACCTGAGCCCCCCAGGGGCTCCTCCCCGGCTGCGCCTCAGTTTCCCCTTCCCGCGAGCAGCGCTTTCCAGCGGGGCACCCCCAAAGCAAGCCAGGCTCTGGGGCGAGGCGGAGGTGAGGGGTCCCCCCGAGGAGACCAGCTCGGGGGGCGCCGGGGGCGGTCGGGAGGGGGAACTCAGGCGCGGAAGAGCGTCTCCTGGGTGGCGGGGTCCAGCTTGCCCCCCGGGCCGGGGCCCCCCTTGCCGCCGGGGGGGTGGCTGTGCCCCGAGGAGTAGCTGGCGGAGCGCTCGGGGCCGGAGCCGGGGGTCCGGCAGCAGAGGAGGGCGGCGCAGGCGTGGCGGAAGCGGGGGTCGAAGAAGGCGTAGAGGAAGGGGTTGAGGCAGCTGTTGATGTAGGCGATGCCGGTGCAGTAGGGATGGAGGTTGTTGAGGAAGGTGTGGAGGGCGCAGGACCAGGGCAGCACCTCCAGGTCCATCAGCACGTAGAGGGTCTTGACCAGGTGGAAGGGCAGCCAGCAGCCCCCGAAGGCGGCCACCAGCACCGTGATGATGGTGAGGAGCCGCTTGCGCTTGCGGGGCCCCTCGGCCCGCTCCCGGCGGAAGTGAGTGGCCACGGTGCGGGCGATGAAGAAGTAGCAGGTCAGCATCACGGCGAAGGGGGCCACGAAGCCCAGGGCGGTGGAGGAGAGCCCCAGCCCCACCTCCCAGGCGCCCTCCGTGCCCTGCGCCGCCAGGTCCCCGTAGTCCATGTAGCAGGTGATCTTGGTGTCCCCGCCCAGGGCGGCCGCCCGCCGCAGCACCAAGGCGGGCAGGGCCAGCAGGGCCGCCAGCAGCCACAGGGCCACGGTGGCCAGCAGCCCGCTGACCCGCGAACGCAGCTTGGCGGTGGCCAGCGGCCGGACGATGGCCAGGTAGCGGTCGAAGCTGAGGCCGGTCAGGCAGAAGACGCTGGCGTACATGTTGACGAAAACCAGGTAGCTGCTGACCTTGCAGGCGGCTGTGCCGAAGGGCCAGTGGTAGCCCAGCCAGGCGTAGGCGGCCCAGAGGGGCAGGGTGACCACGAAGGTGAGGTCRGCCACGGCCAGGTTGGCGATGAAGGTGTCGGCCGAGCGCCGGCGTTCGCGGCCGCCCTTGAAGACGGTCCAGAGRACCAGCCCGTTGCCCGTGGTGCCCAGCAGGAAGACCAGCAGGTAGATGGTGGGCAGCAGGGCCACCGAGGGGCCCCACTCGGCRTACTCGCAGTCCGTTTCGTTGTCGAAGCCGTAGGCGTAAGCGTCCGCCGCCGTCGCCTCCATGCCGGCGCTGCGCTCCKCTCGCCTCAGCTCATCCCGGGCTCACCCGCTCCTCCGGCCCCTGAGCCGCCCGCGAATCCCACCGCGTTACCTCCCCTTCCTCCTCGTCCCCGCCCTCCTCCTGGAGGGGACGGACAGGACAGGGCAGGAGGCAGGGCCGGGGGGAGCCCCCGTGGGAAACTTCGCAGCTCCCCCCGCTCCATCTGGCTYCTTCCCGGGTGGTTTTAGCGAGCTCTCACCCGCGTGTCAACGCGCCGACCCCCGAGATAACCCCGGCCSCGCCGCGCCCGGGGGGTTTGATCGCCCACCGCGATGGGATTCGGTGCTGGCGTCAGGACAGCAGCGCTGGGGGGCTCAGGGGTGGGGGGGCTTTAGRGGGCCGCCAGCATTTGGGGTTTCACCCTGGGGGTGTCGCATTCAGCGCCGGGGTGTCACACATCGGGGCTGCATTTTCGCATGCGGGGTGTCACATCCGGCACTTGGCAGCGGGGGGTGGCCCTGGGGAGGTGGTGTCACTCTGGGGGGAGTCGCACTGAGGGACGGGGCGCATTTGGCATTTTGCATTTGGCACTTGGGATTCCCCGTTTTGCTTCCCATCTTTGCCGCGCTGCGCGCACAGTGGTGGCTCCGGGAGGTCCCCCAGCGCCGGGGCCCCACTTTGAGCGCGACACGACGAGGAGATTTATACATTTGCCAAAAATCCAGGGCGGGGAGRGGGGCTCTGGGACCCTCCGTGCGGTAAAAAAGAAAAAAACAAAAAAAAACATTTTAGAGCAGCAGCAGCTGCCGCCGGAGTCCTCGGTGTGTCCCTGCTCCGCGGGTTGGTCCCGGAGCCGGACGCGACAGTTCTGAGCCGAAAGAGAACAAACTTCCCTTCATCCCACAAATAAATATTGGGAGGGGGGCGCAAGGAGGAGGAAACCCCCCCGTGGTKGGGCCGTGGGCTGGGATTTTCCCCCTGGGTCCGAACTCTCACAGTTCCAGCTTTGGGRAAAAGAACCGAAGAAGCCGAGCGGGACTTTCCAGAGTCTGAAGAGCCCAAAGTCCCTCGGGACACGCTGGGGGGTCTGGGCTGGGGCCTGGACTGGGGCTGAGGGGGGATGAAGCATGGGACGAGCTGTGGGAAGGGGCAGGTCTAACACCCGAGCGCAGGACTGGAGGCTGGAGGGGCACAGAACGACCCCCCCTCGGCTCAGTGGGACCCTTCTTCCAGCAAAGGGGTGTAAAGGAGGGGTTGTGGGGGGAATTCACTGGCTGAAATAGGGGGTAGGGGGGTCACAGGGGTCTGCAAAATGAGACAGAGGGGTGGTGGGTGGAAGGGGGCTGGTAAATGGGGGTGCGGGTGAGGGGGCCCCGGAGTCAGCCGGGAGAACAAACCAGGGCTTATCCAGGCTGGAGATAAGGAACGATCCCGTGTCCCAGTGCCRGGACAGCCGGCCCGCGGGGAGCGGCGAGTGAAACCCCAAAGCGGCTCAAACTGGTGGCAGAACTGCGAGGGTGCCCAGGTTGAAATCCCAATTTGGAATGAAGAAGGGCCGGAATCCCCCACTCCACAGCGCAGACACGACTCGAGCCTTTCCGCTAATTAACGGCATTAACGGGGCAACCCCTGCGCCGCTAATGAACCCCCCGGGATCTCAGCGAGGCTCCCCGCGATGCTCCCGCCCTGGCCAGACCCCCGTTAATGAGCAGGTCCGCTAATGAGCAGCTGTTAATGACTGTTAATAACAATCCCAGCTATCTCTGTCCTGTTGGAACAGGACACAGGTACCCCTTTSCAGTCGCCACACGTGTATCCATTTCCAGTCTCTTTCCAAAAACTGGGTCTTGAGTGTCCCGGTCACCTCCCCCGCTCGCCCTCGGTGCCACCCAGGGGGTCCCATCGGACCCGGCGCCGGCGAGGGACGTCCCCAGGCTGGGTTTGTGGCGACCACGGGTGGTGGGTGGGTGGCCAGGGCTGGGCTGATAACCAGCCCGTGAGGCTGATAACGAGCGCCGCTATCTGCAGTGGGGGGAGGGCATGAGCCGCTCTCTCTGAGGCGGGGGGGCTGCCCGGGGCACCGGCGAGAGGCTCCGCGACTTTCGTTCCTCATTCCCAGGAACGAATCCCAGGGTTTGGCAGCAGCGGCTCCGTTGGGAACAAAGCAGGCGCAGAGCGTTCCCGCTGGCGCTGCAGGGGGATCGGGATGGGAGCCCGACCGCACCCCGAGCAGGAAGGGTAGCGCTTGACCCTGCACCAGGAGGGGTCCGGCAGCTTCCTCCGAATCCGACCTCGCTCGGAGTTTCTCACATCCGAGCGAGGAAGTGACACCCCTCGTGCACAACTCCTTGTCTGTCCCTCTGTCCCCCGTGCCACGGGCCSCGCTGCTGGCACAGGGCTCCTCCTGTTGGCAGCACCCCGCCCGCGGTGTCCCCATCCCAGGCACAGTACCCTGACCCCTCTTCCCTCTGCATCCCAACCCTGCCCGCTGGTCCCCCAAAACCGCCCCGCGCCTCCCCAAAGGCTGGACATGGGTGGGTGCTGCGAGCCACGGGTTTATTTGGATTGGGGGGGGCGCAACCCCCGTCGTGGGGCGGCGAGGACAGGGAGGTGGCGGGGGYTCACCCTGGGGRCAAGGGACAGGGCTGGGSCACCCGTGTGGGCAGGGGGGACGCTGGGATGTACTGTGACACGCGGGTGGGCACTGGGGACAGTGGGATGCGGATAGGGCTCACAGGGTGAACACTGGACACTGTGTGGGCAGTAGGAGCCCASCCGTGGGCTGCCCCACAGCGTGGGGGACAGGCGGGGCACCGCCCCACGGCGCCCGGGGCTAGAGGCCGAGGGAGAAGGTGCCCGAGTCGGTGGATTGCTTGTCCCGGGTGCAGCTCCCCAGCGCCCCGGGAGGACACGCCTTGGGGCTGGCGGGGGTGGCAGGCGCGTCGGCTTCTGTCACCTGTGGGGCAGGGGACAGGCCCTGGGTGAGTCGCTGCACCCGGAGGGGGCCGATCGAGCCCCCCGGAGGTGTCCCCGGGGCACCCCGGCCCCACGGCTGACCTCCTCGAACTTGCGGGCCTTGTAGTGCTCAGCGCCCTTGAGGAAGTTGAGCAGGATGATGTCGCACAGCACCGTGCCCTGGGAGCGGCAGGGGTGGGGTGGAGACGCCCCACGGAGCGCTCCACGACCGCCGCGGAGCCAGCCTGCTGTCACCCTGCGGCTGTGCTCTGTCCCCGMGCCCCGCGGGATTGCCCCCTTCTCCACGCCGGGGCTGAGAACGGCCACAACTCACCACACCGATGGAGGTGAAGGCAGCCACCGTGTTGATGAGGGTGGGGACGATGCCGAACTTCCCGGCCTGGGGGAGCAGAGCCCTCGTCGGCAGGAGCGCCCGAACCCCCCCGGAGACTCCCGTGCCCCCGGCCCCACACGTACGCTGCCGTACACCAGGACATCGAAGCGGATCCCGAAGGCTTTGATGAGGGTGCGGTGCTCGGAGCCGTTGGGCCAGCGATAGTACCTGGCGTGCCTGCGGGGACACGGGGACACGGGGACACGGGGACATGAGCACAGGAGCCATGCCAGGCAGCTCGTCCCCGTGCCACGCGTGTCCCGGCCGTACCTGAAGTTGTAGCCAGGGGCAGGGGTCCGGGCCAGGCTGTCCAGGCGGGTGAAGGAGTAGCGGGGCAGGCAGCGCTCCCAGGCCCGGTCCAGGTCACACACCCACCCGATCTTGATCCCCAGCACCCCACCCTGCCCCAGCCCCGYGTCAGCACCGTGGCCCCAAAGTCCCCACAGCTCCACAAGCCCGCATCCCGTGGCCCCATGCTTGTAATCCCATTAATCCATATCCCACATCCCCATGTCCTCAAGCCCCACATCCCCGTGTCCCTGTACCCCATTCCTACACATCCCGTATTCCCATATCCAGCATCCCAAATCCCATGCACCCACCTCCATATCCCTGTGTCAAGCCCCACATCACTGTGTCCTGTGTTCTTGTWTCCCCATGTCCTGTTCCCAYATCCCTGCATGCCGTGTCCCCAYGCCCCACACATGTTCCCACCACCCWATATCCCCCCATCCCATGCCTCATGTCCCCACATCCCACACCCCATGTCTGTGTCCCCGAGTCCCATGTCCCCACGCCCTCACGCCCCACCTACTTGTTACCCCTATGTCTCCACCCCATTGCCCCCCACCCCGTGTGCTCCGTGCCCCCCGTGTCCCCGCTCACAGTGGCAGCCAGCGCAGGGAAGTCCTGCCCGGCCAGACGTGCCACATCCCCCAGGCGCAGGATGGGGCACAGGGGCTGCAGCTGTGGGTGGAAACGGCACCGGCCCAGCTCCACCCCACTGCCAGGGGGYGGCAGGTTGGTCCTGGGGACATGRGGGGACATGTGGGGACACGTGGGGACACGTGGGGACACGGAGGGATGTGCCATCAGGCAGTGGGCTGGGGTTCATGGACCCCCCCATCCCAGTGTCCCTCCACCATCTTGTGCCTGTGTCCCCATGTCGTCCATCCCTGTGTCCCCGTGTCCCCGTGTTACCTCGTCCCCCTGTCCCCATGTCCCCTCGTGTCCCTCCGTGTCTCACGCCACTCACTTCTCGAAGCCGAAGAGCGGGAAGCGGATGCTGTTCTTGATGAGGAGGGTGAAGTTCTCAGCTTCCAGCATGACRGGGCTGGGGGAAAGGGGGTGACGGTGGGGACACAGCGGGGGGCATGTCCCCCGCTCCTCTCTGTGTCCCCACGGCCCCACTCACACGTCCACAGTGTCCACCTCGGGCGGGCACCAGCCCTGGATCTCGCAGGTGCGCAAGGTCGCGTTGTAGCGGACGCAGCGCCCCGTCAGCATCCCTGGGACCCCGGACCRTYGTCAGCACCCCTGGGACCGCAGGCYCCTGACCCCCCTCAGCATCCCTGGGACCCCTGTACTCCCTTCAGTACCCCTGGGAACACCCCTGAGACCCCAGACCCTCCTCAGCTCCCCTTGGGACCCTGAACCCCCGGTTCCCCCAGAACCCCCGCTCCCCCATGAGCACCCCGAACCCCCAGAGCCCACTGAGCCCACGGAGGGCTCCTCACCACAGCCCGTGGTGGCTCCCCCCGCTCTCTCCGGCCCCCTC